CCACCCGAACGAGTCATCATGGATGAAGTGTCAATCGACTAACTGCCCAAGACAAGTCGCCATAGACATCGTCATGAACGTACCACCATGGAGGAACCGTCGCAATCAAATCGCCATAGGTGGACATATCTTTGCGGTAGTGGTGCAATCCATGTGTAGATGGAAGGATGAAATGGCAACTTGAGCAGCTTCGCTAAATCAGTAGCAGCGGTGCTGACGCGACCGGAACGAAGGCTTTGCTGCCGTCCAGAGTCCGAGATGGATATCTATGGATAGAGAAGAGACCTAGCCAAGATGATGTAGTTATCTCTTATCCAAGCCGAGCTCAAAACGGGTTTGTCTAGAGCTTGTGCTGGTTGCAACAAGTTTGTTGTGAGAATCTGAGCTCGTCACTCTGGACGCAGGTCGCAGCTCAATGATCGTAATAACTCTGGCTCATGAACAGCATAAGCATGATTAGATCAAAAGATAAACCAAAAGAAGTAACCAAGTTATGAATAATTATTAAGCAAATGATCAAACACTTTTTGAATGCTCGTGACAACTTTGAGTTGTTTAATAGTTTATGAACCAAAGATAATGTCAACAACCATAACCACGTATAAAAGTGATTAAAGTATGAGATTATTTACTAAGAGGACTTATCTTTGTTGTGAAGAAGAAACAAGCGCCCGAGCTTATCTTTGAGCTTGAGAGCATCGTCACCTATAGAGCCTAAGAAGCTGTGCCTACTTTACACTTCGACGAGAGGTTCGTACCGGTTACGGCAAGCTTGTCATGGCGAGCTTTAGAGAGGTAGAGAAGCTCGTACCGGTTACCATCCTTAAAGCCTATCCTGCCAAGATCAAATTTCTTCTTCAAGTTGTGTAGCTTTTGTGACGTGGAGGCCAGAGCTTGATGAGATTATGCAGAGAACTCATGATCGAGCCATAGATAGCATTGGACGAGAACAAGCTCGTGAGCTTTGCCGAGATCATGCTTTGAGGTCTGTTGCAATCTTTTCAAGTGAAAGGATGAGAGGACAAGCCCGTGTCGAGCTGGCAAGCTTGTGACGAGATGTCCCTTGTTGCTGAGACGAAGCACAACGAAATTCTTCCCCGAGAATGTCTGAATGAAACGCTGTGCTGTCAACATTCATCACTGTCATCATCAGTAACTCAAAGGTCTCAGCTTTAATGGCGAGGCAAAGGCTGAGACAGCTGGAACCAAACAGGATTGGTCCTCTCAAGCTGGGTTTCGATGGAGAAGAAGATTGTTGATTTTTTTTAAAAAAAAAAAAAAAACAGAGAGTCATCATCGTCTTGCTTTCTCTTCCTCTGCCTGAGCAATTTGTTTCACAGAAGTCTGAAACTTGTCAATCACTAGTTGAGTTGAGAGACGATACACATGAAGCTTCTCTTGGTCACACAATGGTGCCTTCTCTTCTGGTAACTGTGACCGCACATATTTCTTTACACAACACCCAATACATCGCTCTTGTCTGAGGTGGTGGTGAGCTCTGATAATCCCTTGGCGATCTCAAGTCGAGCTGACTGAACGGGAAGCTACAGTCCTCGTTTTCAAGTTTCTTTTATGACGATGGCCTTCTTCCTAAGATCAAGTCTTGAGCTTTGACGAGAAGGAGTCGCATATACTTATCTGAGGAGATCGTGCCCAAACCAGATGGTGATTGTCGATTAGACAAAACACAAATTTAGTTCAAGATCCCTCTTTGTTTCTCTTCTCCTTTTGTCTTGTTCCCCTACGATGCAGAGATGGCTTCACGATGACAAGTTCTTGCCTTGGCAATTGTTGACCCTTTTTTAATGAGTTCGTCTTCTTTAAGAACGAGATGCCGAGATAAAGACTTGAGCTTTGCCAAAATCAAACTTGTCGAAGTGATTGCAGATGCGGATTAGACGGCGAGATGGTGAGGCTTTTCGAAGAAAGTTTTGAACTTTGGTGGGTCTTTGCTGGTATCAACGGCAGAGCTTCATGGTAAAGCTTCAAACTTTCTCTTTAGGTCCAGAGAGAGCTCTGATGAGCTTGTGACGAAAAGTTTCATGTGACGAGAAGTGTTGATGGACAGAGCTCGAAGAAGCCTGGAACCGAGCCGAATCTCTAAACCCCGAGCTGGAGGCATAGAGAGAGAGAGACAGGAACAGAGCTCGAAGAAGCATCTTTTTGTCTTTGAAGTTCTCTGGTCCAAAGATGCTGAACTGACAATGACGAGATCTCCTCTCTTTGTGCGACCAGATGGTGAGATAAGATGGAAGTTTCAAATTTTGTTGGGAAGAAACCCACCACGGTGCTGGAGGAAACCATTCTGGAGGACGGGCCCTAGCCTTAAAAATCAGAAACGCAGGACTCTTTTGGCCGATTATGAACACAGATTGTGAATCCTATTCTCGCCAATGCGACAAATGCCAGAGACATGCCCCCGTTATACATTGCCCAACGGAAGTGTTACAAACTTCTACCACTCCTTCTAGCGCCAACTGTTTGATCCAAAAATGGTGTTTTTTGTAGAATCATAACAATAAAAAATTTAAGAATTGGATTCTTAAATCCTTGAGGCTTAGGAGAAATCAACAAAGAAATCGAATGAAAATAAAACATCAAAGAGATTTATTGATATGAAGATTCATTACAATGAGTGAATACAAATATAAAGTGAATCTATAAATCCCTAAGAAGTGTTCTTAGTCTAAAAAGAGAAGATAATCCTTTCTAATAAGAAGGTAGCTCCTTATTTATAGGAATGTGAGAACTAAGGTTTCTAGTGAGATGGACTAATTCATTGTCTTAATGGGCCTTGTTGGGGGTAAAACCCATGTCCAACAGTAGGTTAAATCCTTGAGGCTTAGGAGAAATCAACAAAGAAATCGAATGAAAATAAAACATCAAAGAGATTTATTGATATGAAGATTCATTACAATGAGTGAATACAAATGTAAAGTGAATCTATAAATCGCTAAGAAGTGTTCTTAGTCTAAAAAGAGAAGATAATCCTTTCTAATAAGGAGGTAGCTCCTTATTTATAGGAATGTGAGAACTAAAGTTTCTAGTGAGATGGACTAATTCATTATATTAATAGGCCTTGTTGGGGGTAAAACCCATGTCCAACAATAACTATGTGTTGATTCTTTTTGGCTCAACGATCTAATCAACTCTGGTTCATAAAAAGCAAGAATATAATCAGATCAAAAGATAAACCAAAAGAACAATCAAGTTATGAATAATTAATAAGCAAATGATCAAACATGCTTTTAATGTTCTTGTGTTGCACATGATGATATAATAATTGTTAATATCATAAGGCTACAAATCAGCAAAGCAATAAAAGTAATGCGGTCAAAACGTGAAATATGTGTGCATCTCGTAATGTTTTGACATGTGTGTTCACCAAATCAACTTTCACAACAAATTACAAAATAAGACGGAGCTCATAATAAGGGAATGGAGATTCAGTGATTGTTTGGCAATGTAACTTCTAATAATCACAGGCCATAATCATAAAATTCGAAAACTTATCTTTAGTGTGGAGAAGAATTGTTTGATGTTGTGGTCGTGTCTCTTGGAGAGCTTTCTTCTAAGCTCCTTACTCCAAGATAAGATCTGAGCTCTGAGGATGCCGTTACGAGATTGACCTTCGGTATAATCTTTTTGTGCCGTCATGGCCTTCAAAAGATGATCTCAATGGATTGCTCCTGTCCGAGCTTAGACAGTTACGAGCTCTGGGCATCGCAGAACAAAGGCAAAGAGAAGCAAGAGTTCTCATAGGAAGTGCGGTTGCATTTTGTCATTTACTCCACCACTGCTTGTGGCGAGGTTACGCTGGAGGCCAATGTTGCCATTGCTTTGGTACCAAAGCTGATGTCTTTAGCGACTCCAACTCCTTCCATTTGTCGATCCAAGAGGGTACAGAAAGGTGATTTTTCTCAGCGAAACACTCAGCAAAAGAATCTCTCAATGGTCCACAGGTAGAGAGCCAGAGATCCATTGCATCATCATTCCTAAAGAATCTGACGAAACAACATCAGTCATCACACCTTCATCAATGATCTCCCAACGAGCTTAATCTCAGCAGCGCTATGGACTTGTTCTGAGCTTCTCGTTCTCAGGAATTATGAGAAGCTCCTGCAGCTTGGGATCTTTGAAGGCAATTCACCTTTGATGTGGTTATGAGAGAGATCAAGTAATTAACTAAATATTCACCATAAGTGAGAATTTTAATTCTTATTGAAGTTGAATTTTTTTTTAATGTTTTCTTTCACTATCGCTCAAATTGTAGGGAAATGTTTTATGTTAATAATTTTATTTTCTTTTTTGTCAAATATTATTTAGATTTTATTTGATTTTACGTGTCTTTAAAAATTATAATAGGAAACTATTAATTCGACATAAAAAAATATCTAAAATTTATATAATATGAAACCAAACAGATAACAATAGTTTTTGGTTATCATCGAAAAAATAAAAAACATCAAACATTCAAACCAAACAAACCAAAATAAATATAGATTTAGAATGATAGTTATATTTTGGAGATTAAAAAAACAACGTAAAACTGAACCAATATTCATGCTAAACAGATATAATATCATTTTATCTTAAAAATAACAAAAGTAATAATCACATTCCGCGCCTTGCGCGGATTGTTACCTAGTATTAATATAAAACTAAAAAAGTTACGGACTCATCCTTCGAGCATCCGCAATAGCGGATCCTTGGGCAGAATCCTTAGGAAAAAAGAAAAAGGGGTATTTCAGATTATATAAAGATATTTCAAATTTTTTCTTTAAAAACAAAAAAACTGACAACTCACGGATTGCCACGTGGGCAGTGGAGCCGCGAATAGTGTAATGATCAATCCTTACATAATGATTTTAAAGATAAAATCCTTAACTGGCATGGAACCCATTGATGATAAAGATTAAAATGAGATGGTCCTTGTTGACGTGGCATGTATAATTTGGTGAACAATCGAATCCACCAAGTAACCTCAATCCGTAGATACTATGGCCACCAACGAACCCGAGCACGAGCACAGAGACGTCGAGGAATTTGGAGCTAACAAGGACGAGGACACCGGAGCTCAAGTCGCTCCGATTGTTAGGCTTGAGGAGGTTGCCGTCAATACCGGTGAGGAAGACGAAGATGCCGTCCTCGATCTGTAAGTCTACTAGATCTAATCGAACATCCTAGGGTTAAGGGATTTTTGAGATTTGTTGATTGAAAAATTCTCTAAGGAAGGTGTTACTGTTAATGTTAGCTTGGAAAGAGAAGCTTTAGTTTTGGGACTGGCTTTAAATTATCTTTGTTCTGTTGTGTCTATGTGTTAAGCCTACAAGTTTTGGTGTTAGTTTTGATGGGATTAATGTTATAAGAGAAGCTGGTGACTGGTTTGTTCTCTGTTTCCCAGCTGCTCAGTGTTTAGCTTGGGTTGTTATTAGCTTCTTAGCTCTTCATTTACTACAAGCCGCCAGAGAGGTTATCCTTCTTTCTGAGGATATGGTGGTTCTTGGCGTTTTCTATTTGTCTATGTACTTTGTATGTTGACAGAAGAAGGCTTGCGGTTGAAGGTTGGAGCGGATGTTCTTCTCACGTTGTGGCTAATTTAGCTGTGACACCTGCTCTTGGGTTTCTTTGCTTTGTGGCGTTGAGAGGTGTTTCTGGTATTGATGTTCGTGGAAGCTCTTCTGATCTTCAAGAGCCTTTGCTTGTGGAAGGAGATAGAGCCAAGGCAAGTTACAAGGTGTTGAAGTCAAATTGGAAAAGGTCGAAGTCGGAGAATCCTTCAAGGCCTCCTTCTTTGGCACCTGCAATTCTGAAGTCGTTTTGGAAAGAAGCAGCTTGCAGTGCCGTATTTGCTGGGTTGAATACTCTCTTGTCATATGTGGGGCCTTACATGATCAGTTACTTTGTTGATTATCTTGGAGGGAAGTATATTTTCCCTCATGAATGGTATGTGCTCGCTGGGATATTCTTTGCGTCCAAGCTTGCTGAGACAGTCACCACCCGTCAATGGTACATGGGGGTTATTTAGGTTACTGTTTTACTTATTTTTATCTTCTCTTTTTGGAACTGTTTGTTTGCAGTGAAACAGGGGATGAGTGTTCAGGAACACGTTGGAAATGAAATGTCTTGTGTATGGCATGCCCGTTACTTTGCTGATGGTGAACTCAAGGATGAGATTTTCTGCATCCGATTTGCCTCTATTGAGAGTGAGTTTGATATTGACTGACATGTCATATCTTATACTAATCTCCACTTGTATCGTTTTTATGCATGTTGCTTTTGCTTTGGCTTATATATTCTCGATACATTATTGTTAGGACGTGCAGCCATTAGATTACTAATGAATATTGAACGCAGCTTTGTTGCTACTTGTTTTTGGAAAATTTCAACTCAATGGTTTCATTACATCTCTAGTTAATTGCTTGGTTTTTCCTTTCCACATAGTTTAGAGCTGTCAATTGCTTGGTTTTTTCTTTCCACATATTAAGCTTTCTTCAATCTGTAAGCTTGGTAGTAACACAGTTACCATGATTACTGGGTTGTATTATTTTCAATGGTTGTAGAGATGATAATGCCATGAACCAATGAGTTTTTATAAAAAAGAAAAAATTTCACAAGTTTTATAATTTATAATTTTTTTTCATTTTTAAGAACTCTTAATTGGGTAACACCATTGGACAAATATTTTTGATTAGAATCCTTAACTATTAAGAAAAAAAACTAAAATAAGGCTAAAGACTCCAAGGGTGGTAACACCATTGGAGATGCTCTAGCAGTTACAAGAACCGGATGGGAAACCGTAAGCTCTATGTGTTTATCAATCAATGGTCGATTTTCTTTTTCAAGTTTAAATTTAAATATATAACTAATTTAAATTTAAAAAAAAATATTAATAATAACCTCTATTTATCATTTTCATGGTTGGAGATGCTCTTAGAGCATGATTAGCCCCATTCTCAGAATCTCAAGAATTCTACATATACACTTGGTACAAATACATACAGTTTTGCTTCACTTGTGTTTCACCATCCCTCTTAATTTTTTGGTAAGTTATGCTGCTTTCTCTTTCGCTGTACAAATGGTTTGTAAGTTGTAACTCAAAAATGATGTCCCGGAATGGAAGATTAATGAAAGAATCAGTTTAAAAAAAAACTAAAACCTTAACAGCTAGGACATAATATATTGACTTCTTTACCACAATAATACCAGACCAAGTTAAACTTGATACTGCCTGGTCAAGAAGATTCTGAAGGATCGAAGATTTGACCAACAAACAAAACGGTTCCAGTTTTGTTTTCTCTAATCAAGAAAAGAAAGGGATGATCAGCCACAAAATCAAGGCTAGCTTTAGTATAACTTATTCGCATACAAAAAGTAGTAGCAGCAGCTTCAGCGCCTTCTTCATCGATCTCGACGCAAGCTTTATGGTACAAAGCATTTGAAACCAGACTTCCCTCGAAAGCCCTTGAAGCCTCAAACCCAAAAGAGATCTTAAACTTTGGAATTGCGAAATCACCAAGTTTAACTCGGCATGTCGGATTGTGCTTATCCACAAAACCACGAGTTGATGTCATTTTCTTAACAAGATTGTCCAAACCATCTTTCTTGTCCGGAAGATAGAAATACATTGAGAAACTGCGCTTGTTATCAAGGCCTTGTTCAAATGGGAGCTTAAGGACCTTGAAACCATCATAGTCCTCGACGTATTGGCGATAGAAGCTTCTCATGAACGGCACAGACACTGAGGCGCCATTGAGAAGGTTAAAGTCTCTGTCTTTGGTTAACACCTTTCTGAATTTGTCTTTCCAAGCTCCCTTGAAGTACAATGCGTTTCCATAAACCTGTTCCGTTTTACTATCAATGGATCCTGGAGGAAGAAGATCCTTGATGAGACCATTAGTCTGATCTGAAGCCCATTTATTCAGCTCTCTACGCACTTGTTCAGCCTTCAGAACAATAATAAAATGTTTAAATAATTTCAATATAATCGCATATAAAACTAATTAAGGCATGCTGTGGTCTAAATGATATTTAGAATTGTTTCAAACAAAAAAAAAAAACTAAGGCATGGGGGGAAAACCTACCTTGAACATGAAGTCAACTTGAGTGAAAGTAGCCTTGAAGACATTCTCCATGAGATCCTTATACGAATGATCAACCGGGAATGATTGCTCCACCCAAACACCGTTTATCGCCTTGATCTTGGGGCCACCCTTAGCCTTTCCATCGGCAAAAGCGACGGTAGCAGTCTCCTTGAAGACAGCCTTACGTTCTTCAGTGACGGAGTTGGCAGCCGCCATGGTTAGGACGCTGTTGAGTGATGCGGGAGAGAAGAGACGAAATTAGAGTTTCTTGCTTTGGAAGCAATCACTTTACCGGTAAGGACCAAGTCAGCGTCGTTTTGCTTCTTCATTGCTTTTCGCAGATCCTTCTTTGAGAGAGAGGAACTTGCGATTTTCTCTGGGAGAGACATATCTGCTGTTTCTGAGGATGTGCTAAGTTTTTGAATCTTTAGCTTCGAACTCATCCTTGCAAGAAAATAACATCCTGTTGCAAATCGTCTACTTATCATCTTTCTAATTAATCTTTTATGTTTATTTTTGTTTCGAGCGCCCACATATATCGAGAAGGTAGAACTAGGGTTTAGTTCCGACACTAACCATGAATTACACCAAAACTATACTATATCAATTTAGTTCCGACACTAACCATACTGAAACCGGTTAAACCTTATCTGAGCCCGGTTAAGAAGATTCTGATTGGTATATGGAACTGGAAATTTACCTTGCTCATCAATATGAAGGTCGGTACAAGCACAAATATCAACTACAGTGAAACCTCTATAAATTAATAATGTTGGGACTACACCAAAATTTTATTTTTTTATTAATTTAGAGAGATATTAATTTACCGATATATTAATTGAATCAAAAGCTCAATTTGTGACTATAAAATTATATTATTTTATAGAGATATTTAGTGTATATTAATTTATCGAGTATTAATTTATAGAGGTTCTACTTATTCAATTTTAGCATACATGTCATCTAAATTATGCCGTAATCAAGGATGATCTACATACACATGAGTGGGATCAGTTGACTCCACTAAAATATTAAAAATTTGATTTGTAAGCTTATTTACGTAAAGAGCAAATGGTCCGCTGGTGTAAAATCTCTTGCATAACCCCCCCCCCCTTTGTCCATCAAGATAAGTATCACATGTTGAAACACTTATTTTTCACATATGTACAACTCGCACTTGGAAATTTTGTTCACATGAAACATCGCATGTAAGAGTATCATGTCTCCTTAGTTGTTCCAACTAATATATCAGTGGCTAAAAAAATATCAAGTGATCTCTTAAGACGCCATTGCTCGGGGAAGAGAATGGAGAGGAGCATAAACTCATGTTGTATGCACAAATTTGATAGTAAGTTGTAAAGTGTAACAGTTAGTAGTCATAGGAAATATTATCTTCCATGCTTTCCGAATATGTTAAACCCATCAATACATATTACAAGGTAGATATTTCTTCTCCTTTACGATTCCATATGTATCTACTTTATAGTTCTTTTAGAAAATCTTAAAAAAAGAAAATCTTACTTATGCGCTCTCATATGATTTCGCTTCCACGTACACACTTCTAATTCCATGTAAGATCGGTTAGGATATGGATCTGATTAGTTAAATAAAAATATACATTTAATAAAAATTTAAAGAATACTTTAAGCAAAAAAAAACATACAAGAAATAAATTATAAATAGATAAATATGTATTTTCTAATTTGGAATAGAAATGAATACCTTTTTCTAACAGAATCTACTTAAATCTTTATAAAATGTATTTCCGAAAATTAATCAATTTAAATTGTTCATATTATTAAAATATAACAATAATGTTTTATATAATTTGACTTTTCGTTTATAAATCCAAAATAACATAAGATTCATTTATAATAGGATTTTACGATAATTAGAATTTAAATTAACTAATTTCGAAAATAAAATTTAAAATATTCAAAAAAGATTTTCTTAGTTCTTTTTAAAGAATATTCATTTGTATTTCAAAAAAAAAGAAGAAGATAAAGATAATAAAATTAAACTATGTAAAATTTGATAAATTTTCTATGGAATGTTCCACACTTCAAACGGAAAAAAATTAAAACATTAAATAAGTTAGGTTCAACAACCTATTTCCACACCATAACTATCATATAGTAACAGTTTCACACAAACTTTTATCCTCGTCGTAATTGAACAAAATTAAACTATCTCAACCTATTACCTCCTAATCCAAAAGAACAAAACATTAAGCCACACAGATAAAGATTGGCTTGGTTTTTATGGTTTATTACGTTAACCGATATTAAATCTACTGGTATTAGTTGATATTGGTAAACCTGACCCAAAAGAAAATCCAACTACAAATCGATTAAAACTCGACCCATGAAACGTCTATTAAAATCCCAAATAGAACATGAAGAAACCTAAAAGTTTAATTTTAAAATTTGATTGTTTAGATCTCCATTGATCGAAATTAATGACTAGCTCGTCAAATACTACATCCAAAGCTTCGAGTGGATGATCCAACCCGCCATTCAGAGTTTTCGTTTGGTCATATCAATGAATCCAGGGAATGAAACGAAAAAACTTAAAAATTCAAAATTATAAGTGCTAATTCATAGTTTATAATATGGGTATGGTATATTTGGATAAAACTCACAAGTAACAGTTAAAAAAGCTGTAACTCTGTGAAAAAAAAAAGAAGTAAAACTCGGAATTTTAAGGTGTGCAAATTGCAGAGAAGGTTTACAATAAGGGAGAAATTGTCATTTCACTTAATTAAAATCATAGGGAAAACCAAAACCCTTACTCTTGGTTCAAACTTGAGATGCAAGCCTTTTTTAAAAGGCACCAACCACCAGCCTACGCTATCTTCGTCATACAAGGTAATAGATAAAACTACATATAAGTATTAGCCTACGTATATGTTAAAAGAACTCCATCTTCTCCACAGCTTCTCTGCAAATATTACTCTATCTCTCTGCAGATAAATATATTGTATCTTTTGTGCCTTTGATCTTTTCTCTTTGACTTCAATCTTCTCTCAAACTTCACTTTCATTTTCAGTTTTGAAACTGAAACACACGATTTGGGAATTTTAAGTTAGAGCATATGGGTTAGTTAGCGTATGGGGTTTGGGTTAACAAAATTTTCGGATCTGGGTTATTAATTTTAAGGTTAAATCTGTCGGGTTTCTGGGTCAGATCTTTCGGATCAGGGGGTAATAGGTTGAGATAGTTAAATTGTGTTCAATTATGACGAGGATGAAAATTTGTGTAGAACTGTTACTATATGATAGTTATGGTGTGAAAATAAGTTGTTAACTCAATAAGTTATGACTTCTATTTTAATAGTAACTAGATTTTGACCCGCGCTTGAAATCGCAGAAATTTTTTACGATTAAAAATTTATATAATTGGGTTTTTTCTTAATTTAAAGAATATTTTGATTTAAAATCAGTTCACCAAAATTTGTGGTGATGATTGTTTTTCATTAGTTTTTAGTTTCAGTTTTTATTTTTAGATTTTGGATTTTGGTTTTTAGTTTTTAAGTTTCTACTTTTCATTTTCAGTTTTTAGTTTGGGTTTTTAATTTTTAAACTCGCTGAGTTAGTTTGAACTAATATTACCAACAAACAAATCTCAAATAATCGAACATCTAATTTAAAACTGAAAAGATGATAATAATTTTTTTTTTTAAATTTGAAATAGTTTATTTTGTAAATAAATAAAGCAAAAAAATATAATATGTGTTTTCAGCTTTTGGTTTTGGATTTTAGTTTTTAAATTTGGTTTTTGGTTTTGCTTTACATTTTTTTAATCGGTAAATTATTTAAGAAAAATAAAACAATAAATTATTTAAAAGTTACCATTGAAATTTATCAAAACAAAGTGATTGTTATTTAAAATAAAAAATATATTAACATGTTTTAAAGTACATGATTTAAATAAATGATTAATAATAGATAATTTTGTTTTGTTAAAAATATTAAATACCTTTTCGGTCGGAAAATAATAATTGATTTTTTGATCTTTTAAGGTGAAAAGTTTATTCAATGTTTTTGGAGTTTTTCTTAATACTAAGCCAAAAAAACAAACTATATAATTTGTTCAAAAAATAAAAGTAAGCCCAAGACTATATTCCATAACTAACCGTTGATTTAATTTAAGTATAATTAGTAGATTTCCATATTCCATATTTTGATGATATTTATTTTAACATGTTTTAAAGTACATGATTTAAATAAATGATTAATAATAGATAATTTTGTTTTGTTAAAAATATTAAATACCTTTTGGGTCTGAAAATAATAATTGATTTTTTGATCTTTTAAGGTGAAAAATTTATTCAATGTTTTGGAGTTTTTTCTTAATACTAAGCCAAAAAACCAAACTATATAATTTGTTCAAAAAATAAAAGTAAGCCCAATACTATATTCCATAACTAACCGCTGGTTTAATTTAAGTATAATTAGTAGATTTCCATATTCTATATTTTGATGATATATATTCTTTTAGAACATTCCATATTTGTAGGAGAAAATATGTGTTTTTGGTATACACATAGATACCTGCCGTATTTTGAAGGTAGTTTACATTAAGGTCGTCTCTTTACATTAATTGTATTGGTTTAATTTAAGTAATACGGTTCAATCAATTATATGACTTATATTATTTGTAACATTCTAGAAAGGGTCCAAATTTAAATGACAACTTGTATCAGTAGATAAAAAGAATGACTCTATTTTAATAGAGTAGAAGCTGCATATTTATTATTAGGTGGTTTTTCCGTGCTCATGCACATATATTAATATTTTCAAAATCAATATATCATTAAAATTAATATTTTAATTTTAATTATTTTGTAATTTATATGTATGCTTTATTTAAAATAATATTATATTATTTTAATCAAAATTTAGTCTGAATATATAATATTTAGTCAATTTGGTTATTATTTGGCTATATTGAGTTATATTTACTTTTTCAAGTTTAACCATATACTTACGAATCATGCATGGTTATAATTAAAATCTGGTTGGACGGATTTTTCAAATCAGTTCATCATCAATCAAAATCATTTCAACAAAAACAGATCTTTTGAGATACTTTCTCTAGAGTTTGATGATATTCACTTTGACCTTGCATGTAACCAAAGGCGGATGAATTTCTCTGATGAAAACTATATGAGTAGCTTTTGTACGAAGAAAAGACATGGTTTTGTGAATAAGAACA